GTTCATTTTACTTTTTTCAGGGTGGTGATTTTAGTATTTTACGTGCACAATTTTATTCCTAAGACAAAGGGAGGAAAAATTCGATTTTAGAAGCTTCTGAAACATTTGACCCTGTGCTGCCTGGAAACACACTGTTCATCATGTACAGCCTTGACCTGTGTCTGTGTCTCTTTCTTTCGGGCAGCTTTTCTGTGGAATAGAATTGTTTTTTCTTCTTTTTCTTCTCTCTTAATATCTGGGAGCTCTGGGGTTTGGTGGTTTTTTTTTTTTTTTTCGTTCTTTCTTTCTTTCTTTCTTTCTTTCTTTCATTTTCCATGGCATTTTTAATAGACCATCATTCCAGAGTAACATTCTCTTGAGATAGGCAACTGAGGTATATAATTATATGCTGTGGAAAGTGGTGGTGGAATGAGGGGTGCAGGAGGAGGTTATTGAATCACAAAAGCATGATTCCTATTCAGAAAAAGATGACACTGTGCGGGATGTTCAATTTCCTTCTGCTCTGTGCCCATAGAGAATGCAGCATCTTAAAACAGAGAAGTCATTGGTATTCACTGGAGTTTGCCTGGTTTCATTTTTATTGTTTCAGAGACTTATTACTCTTTCAGAGTTGTTCCCAGGTCTGCTGCCTTTTCTCAGTATATATGAGCTAGGTAGTCAGAGGAAACACTTTAATTACATTTTAAGTAGAATAAAAGCATAAGTATATTTATGAAAAACCTAACAGAAGGTGCAATGAGACCATTAACTTAAATCCCCAAAATACATAAAGTGTTTTTTCATAATAAAAAAATCCATCGCTGGTACATTAAATTGTACCTGCATATTAAAAATCTGCCCTAAACACTAAATATTGCCTAAATGTGAACATTGTATTCAAAATTCCTCCCAGGAAAAGTGTGCTGGTCGTGTGGGCCAGCATCATCCATCCCCCAGGCTTGTCCTTAAGGCATTGCTTCTGGGCTGGAGAGTCCTTTGTCACCCAGTGATGGTTTTCACTTTGGGTCCCTCAGCCATTGCTTCTGTGCTGTCATTGGGCATTGTTTTTTCCTAAATCATCTATGCTTTGGTTAAATTTGGTTTTTGTGAACTTGCTCAAGCAGAAACAATGAGGAGAGAGGCGGGAGGGGGGGAATAGGAAGCTGTTCTTAAATTTGAACATGACAAATTTAAAGAGCAGACAGCAGAATTTCTCTTGAGCCACCAGCAGGCTGTGTTGACAAAACTCTGACTTCCTCAAGAGACAGTTCAGTCTGTCTGGCAGTGGTGGGAGGACCCAAAACCTTTCAACAAGTTTGATAGGAACCTTTTTCCTCTGGATAGGACATAGATTACTGATGATTACTTTCTCTCCGATTATATCATTTCACAGAATCCTAATCAAAGCATTTAAGAGTATAATTTATGTACTTTTAAGGGAACATGTATAATTTTGACCTCTTTAAAATGGAAAAGATAACTAAAGAATCTTTTTTGTTCTTGCCCAAAGGAAAATACACAGAAAATCTTGTGAAACATGCTTTGACTTTACTTAATTTATTAAAAGATATTTCAGAACTAAAAGTATATTTAAAAGGACATCATAGAATTTTGGGGTAGCATAATTACAGATAACCCCAGGGCTTAATTTTCTGCAGACAGATTTCACTTGCTGGTTGATTTATTAATGAGTACTTTTCAATTGCATGGTCTGCAAACAGGAAGTAGACGGACAGAGTGGTCCGAGAAGCCTCTGTCTCTCGGGTGGTATGGAAGCAGGCAGTGCCTCCTACACCTGGAGCCGTACGTCTGTGCCAGGCCTAGCCAGGCACCAGATGTGAAGCGGAATTTGACAGCACCAGTGACCTGGTTTCTGTTCTCACCCTGTGAATTTCCAAACCAGCAAAGCAACCCAAGGTTCACAGGTTGAAAGAGCCATGATTCCTGTCATGGCTTCTCTGAGAACCTACTGGCTCTAGAGCTATAAAGTTTTATTTTCTAACTACAGATTTCGATAATTGACTTTTGTTTTATTTTAGGCATAGGAGGAAATCTAAAGTCTAAATCTTTTTTTCAGGTATTTTGAAAGTATTCGCTAACAGAAAAGCCATGGCATTTAAGACTGGGTCTGTCCTAGAATTGCTTTTTAAGTCTCTATAACAAAAGGAACCAAAAGCTAGTGCCTCTAAGCCAGAAGGCCCTTGCCTACTCTCTCTGGGCTCCCCTTAGTTATTTCCCAAGCCACAGATTGGCTCACGTGGGCTTAACAGTGCAGATGTGGTCATGGGGAGCCTGGCTGTGTCACTGGAAGCGGAAACACTGCAGAAAACAGGAGCCGCATTGACCACATCCACCAGGAGACTGCAGCTGCCATCTACAGGGGTTGCCGTCATCGGATCTTTTTCTCAGAGCATCTCTTTGTTGTTTGGGGTGTTTTTATACACGCGTTTGCAATTATAGTAATTCACGTGCTTCCTGGGTAGGAACTTGGGAGACTCATGGCGAGAGCTCCAACTTCTCTTGGTGCTGCTTCCTCGCAGTGAGCACATATCTACATAAAATAAGGAAAATCTCTCCTTTATCAAAATAACCAGCGGGTAGATGAAGTTGACTTGACATCTTTGATATTCTCTTGCAAACCTTCATTGAGAAGCAGGAACTGTGATGGAGGCGTGGAAGGTGTGTAGACTTTGACCCTTCCCCTTAGAAGTCACTTCCTAGGGCAGTTGGGAAGGAGCAGGGGATGGGAGGCACAACACACTGAGCTGCCTCCAGCCTGTACCCCTCGCCATCAGCATGTGGGGCCTCCCTCTGTGCCCACTGGTGACCCTTAGGAGGCTCAGCCATCTGCTAACGCCCACCCCCCCACACATGGGATGGACGGCACCTGGCCCATCCTGAGGAGAGCACGTTCTGACAGTGATGACAGTGCCCACGTGGAAAGTGGTGGGGTCCTTGCCCATGTGTTGGTTTGTGTCTGTGTCTTGGTCACCACTCAAATGACAGCAACAAAATTACAAGAACTGTGTGTAAATGTGAGGTCTGGGGGAAGACCTGCCATTGCCCTACACACTGCTGTGGTGCAAGTGGTGACCCACAGGGGGACCCCATCTGTCGGGAGTTAGAAGGGATTCGAGTGCCCCAGGAGTGGAGGCAGTGGAGGACTCTACAGTCTCCCTCAGAGCCTCTTCCTCCATCTTCTTACCAAAAAGAAAAACAAATCTGAGAACTCTTGAGATGGGTGGAAAAGGCAGGGGAACTGAAATTGGTAATTAAATCATGACAAACTCAAAGTAGAATTACATTGTTCAAAATCAAATAATAGTTATTACTCAACTGTAAAATAATTGTCATTCATGGAGTAACAAAGACCCTATTCAGAACAAGAGTATCTGACTTTTACATCCTGGAAACTATTTTTAAATACATATTATAGAGCAGAATAGATGTGAAAGTTTTGTGGTTTATTACATGTTTATAAGTCCCCTGACTGTATAATGAGCTATGTAGAATTAACTTTGATTTTGACTGCAAGTATCTTATTGACTTAATTTATCAACACTCTGAAAATGTGTGCATTTTTCCTGCATCCTATGGCATTTTATCCTCCAGTTAGCATTGTGCAGTATGGTCCTGCTGCTGCAGCTGTTCACATAGAGTCTGTTACACTGTCCACCCTGTGTGTTTTCACAGCAATAGATATGGTGACTAAGGGGCATTCAGCTAAGAGGGACAATTTAACACTCGGCTCTTGGGTTTGTTCTTTCCCCCTTGAGTGTCAGAAAGTGGTGTCTGTTCCCACTCTGGTGGCAGAGGTGTGCTCGCCGGTGGCCATGTGAGGCCCCAGGTTGGGGCAGCCTTGCACCTGGCAGGTGGCAATGGCGTGGATATTTCCAGGCCCAGCAGAGGGAATCTCTGCCACTCTGCCACCCCCATTAGACCTCACCAGAGGCCAGCAAAAAGGTCCCTCTCCTTGGACTTTTGACTTCCAAAGCTGTGAACCAAATAAAACTCTGTGTGGGAAGCCTGCACCAGGCACGTCGTCATTACAGTGACACATGGGTGGTACAGGCAGGCTATCTGGTCCTGGAGCCCCTCGCACACCGTGCTGGAGAAATGAAGCTCTCTTCTGAGATCTATAACCAAACAGAGCATTCATTCATTCATTCAAGAACTAATTATTAGATTGCTACTATGAGACTTTAGAGATAAGAAACCAATTCTATGAAATTCTTCTTGCTATAACCATCCATACAAAGGAAAAATGGCACATGGACTAAAGTGGAAATAAAAGTCCCAGAATTTCTTTCACTTGTCCACAGATAGCAGAAGACATTATAATTTGAACAGAAAATAAATGTATCTAATACCATGAATATTAAAGAGCCTGGGCATAGTAATGTCAAACCCTTAAATAAATAGATATCTAAGCTCTGTCAAATATAGAGAAAAAACTCTGGTACAGTATAGTACAGGATTTTAGCTTTGGAATCTTTTTTTTTTTTTTTTTTTTTTTGGTACCAGGGATCGAACTCAGGTTCTTGTACTTGTGAAGCAAGCGGTGGAACCACTGAGCTAAATCCCCAGTCCCAGCCTTGGAATCTAAAGGTCTTAGCTTACTAATTTTCACGATTTTGACCAAAATTAACCATCCTTCAGTTAGTGATGAAGGAGAAAAAAATTTATCTTCATGTATCTTGCAAGAATATTGAAAAGCGGTAATATAATAAGAAACTGAGAAAAGTGTTAATTTTTCTATACTAAATATACAGGTAGGTTAGGCCTGAACATGTGGCTTTCCTGGATTGTACAAAGAGATCACGGGCTCACACTTCGCCCTCCACCATGTGGCCCAGCTGTTCACTAAGGGAAAGCATTTCGGATGTGCAAGAGTCCAAGGCCCCCTTGGGCGGCTCCTGTGTCTTTCCCGTTTGACCCCTGTTGCACCTACCTTCTGCTCAGGATCTCTCCGTGTGCCCCACCCAGCCATAGCGCTTAATGTCACTCCCTTTTCCTTCCAGAGCTTCTTCGAAGGACAGTCTGCGCCATGGGATTCCGCTAAGAAAGATGAGAACAGAATGAAGAACAGATACGGAAATATCATTGCGTGTAAGTGTTGGTGGTACGCTTGTGCTGGGGGACCACTTCCTGTCACCTCTGCTGAGGCTGACGCCGGCTCACAGGGAGAATTTCAGGCGCACTGACTGCTTCCTTCAGCCACAAGGACAGGAAGGAAAAATGCCCTGAATCCTCCCGCTGTGCCATTGCGCACTCACTGTGGGCCTGGTTTTAGATTTAAGACTTGAGTAACATAGGTAACATTAAATCGCAGAAGGAAAATGAGTTTCAGTAGGAGCAAAGCTCCTGAACCTAATGTTCCCTGCTGCCGTTTGGGGACAAATAGAACTAATGATATGCTGTGCGCCTCCATGCGAGGAGCTCGGGGTCCTCCACAAAGCATCACCTCATTAATCTTCGGGACGTCGGGTCAGGTAGGTCAGTAATGGCCCCATTTTCAGGGCAGGAAAGCGAACTTACAAATTAAATGATAGTCCTCATGTCACAGTACTCACTAGCAAAAGAGCTAGGGTTATATCTCAAATTCCCAATGCCTGAGAAACTGAGTGTTACCAATCCGTACTGCCTTGGACAGCTTTTAAATGGAGCCCAACCTCATTAACGTTCCGTAATGAGGCCGAGCCTCGTGCTGGATTGATGAGCCTCCCTCTCCCGGGGCCCACAGCAGCGCCCTAGTGGGATGAAGACTATTTCTAAAGATGCATAAAGCGAACAGCAGCAAGGCCTGGAGACCCTCCCATCAGTCGTGTCTTGTTTCTTGCAACAGAGCAAACTGGGGCCAGGGATTTAGCTCAGTGGTTCTGCCGCCTGCCTTGAGCACAATGTCCCGAGTTCAATCGCCAGTACCAAACACACACGTACACACACACACACACACACACACACAGGGCAAGCCAGAACGTTAACCTGTCCTGGCTGAGCGGTCCCTGGGCTTTCTGGGTTGTGACGGTGCCATTAGATGCTGCTTGCTGGAGTCACCACTTCTGGGGTCGACAATGTAGCGTCCACAGCAGTGACTGCCCCAGAACATTGCACCTGCTCCTCTACCCGTCCCTCCTTGCAGCTGGATAGAGAGAATGTGCCAACCTAAACCTGGTCGTCCCTCCCTCTAGCAGAAACTCACCAGTCACTTCTGTTTGCAGGGTGCCAGGCCAGACACTTAATGTAAGTAGTGCCACTCTCCTGACAACTGCAGTCTGGCGCTGGGTTTGGCCGCTGTTTTAGGTAGAAGATCCAGTAGGAAGTATTTTAGCCTTCTCAGGTCTTACTCTGTTTGAGTAATTTAAAAACAGTAAAAATGTGTCTCTCGGGGTCTGGAAGCCAGGAAGTCTGAGATCAAGGTGCTGGCAGATTGGGCACCAGGTCAGGGCTGCCCTGCTGCGTAGATGGCACCTCACTGCTGCATCCTCCAGCACAGGGGACAGAGGGAGGCTTAACAGGCCCAGCTGCTCCCTCAGCCTTTCCGGGAGGTGCTGGTCCTTCCTGGCTGCGTCATCTCGGAGCCTCTCAGGGCTGCACTGCGGGGACACAACATTCCTACCCCAGTAAGGGGCACTGCCTGGCACTGCTTTTGTAGTGCAGAGTCCTGGCCTGTGCTCCACAACTGCTTGGCAGTTTCACAAAGCCAGCACCTGGCGAGGATCAGATCCCCAGGGCTACCTTTGCTTCCTGCACCCCAGCTCGTTTCTGCCACCACCAAGATGCTGTCAACCCTCGGGACCCGCACTTTGGACTGATGGGTTGATGACCTCACACATGGGCCTGGATGTGGCCTGATTTCAGCAGAGCCCCTGCTGCCATAAATTTTCTGTCTGCCATCTGGACCAGGCCACGGCGTCCGTGGAATAATGGATCTCAGGTCCACAAAAGGTGGAAACTGCACTGCCGCGATGCTGTGGGGACCAGTAGGAGGAGGCCAGATTGGGAAGAAGTGGACTGATCCGGAAAGACCTGTCTTAGTGCGGACATAGTGGCTCATGTTCACAATCCTAGGGCTCAGGAAGCTGGGGCAGGAGGATCGCTGTGAGTCCAAGGCCAGCCTAGAATACATAGTGAGACCCTGTCTCAAAAAAAAAAAAAAGAAAGAAAGAAAAGAAAAGAAAAAACCCATTAGACAAAAAAAAAAAAAAAAAAAAAAAAAAAAGCATAATAATAGTTACACTAATAACTACAAGACCTGTTTGGAGTCTTTGTTGCACCGCAGACTAGCCCAGCAGCCTGCAGTAAGTCACAGATTTCCTGAGAACGTGACACTCTGTAAATGGGACTGAAATGCCACGCCGCAAGAACACTTGTTACCTGGAAAAAGTAATCACACCTTTTCTTCTTCATTTCTCCTGTTATTCATCTTTAGCTTAGTAAACTCAATACCTCATTTAAAATTTAAAGAAAAAAGAAGGAAACAGCCTTGAAGTTCCAGCACCAGATGGCTCTCTGGCAGCAGTCGCAGGCGGTGTCCTGCCCCCGCGTGGTAGGCCACTGCTGCTGGCGACCGGCCCGCTCTGCGGTGTGGCTCTGCCTCGTGCTGCCCAGTGATCTGCCCTGGCCGGGCCTCTGCCTGGGTTTCCGGGCGGCAGCCACCACCGCCTCCATCACCCTGGCCTGAGCTCTCTCCAGCTCTGCACGGCTGCGTCCTTTTCTGTCTCCTCCCTGCATCGCCGCCCACAGCACCCTGCAGCCTCACCCTGTGCATCGATGCCTACTTTTCCTCTCGTCCACTGCTTTTACAAGAAATCCCTCTCGAAGCTTCATCTGTAACTGATTATTTATACAGATAGACTTTATGTGTAGTTTTGTGTAGTTCTCAACAGGGCCATGAGCTGGCGTATGCTAGGCTGACTACCCATGCCACCTGCCAGACAGCCATGAGCGCTCCTCCGTGGGGCGTCCATCACCTTCTCTCCTTCCTGTGGGCAGCCTCTGTCTGTTCAGCCACAGAAATAAATCCCAGCCACTGCCACAGACAGGCCAGGATTGAGGAGCGAAAATAAGAACACTCACCTATCCGTTGCCGGGGTGTCTGCCGAAGGTCCATGGTGAGTGCTTCTTTGCCGGTGCAGAGGATCGCACTGCCGCTTTGCCACCCCTGGAAGTGCGTGGGACTACAGAAAGGTCAGTTGCACTTGCTGGGAAGTCTGCTTCCAGAGCAAGGACCTCCTCCACCCCTACGATGAGGGATCGGGGGATTCGGACACACTTCTTAAAGATTCTTGCTGGTGCTCTACAGAGAACATAAAATGTGTTCGTAATGCTCACAGTCACTGTTTTGCAGCCGTGTTTGCATATAACATGGTGTTAATGGTGCTTAAAGAGTGTTTATTGGCTTTTGCTCTTAAGTAAGTTAAACTCTTCCGTTATTTACACTATAAATTGCTGAGCTGGCCCTTTCCAAATAGAACCGAACTTTCCCTCCACCGTCACCGCCACCACATACAGACACCGCCTCCTAATATCTCAACAGCTCCTTCTGATAATTAACTGCACACCGAAGGCACACACCACATCTCCCGCTAACAAGGCAGCCCCTGGCAACTGCTCTGCATTCTGAGGGCTGGCAGTGGAAGAGACGAGCCAGAAGCCACAGGAGCCCCAGGCAGATTTCTGTGTCCTCTCTGCCACCATTCATCCAACAAACGCATATTGATCTGTCGTGTGCCAGGCACCGTGCCAAACGGAAATCAGTCTTTCCAGAAATATTTACTGTGTGCCTGTGATACACTGTGCACCATTTTCCGTGTCAGAAGGAGCAGGGAATAAAGCAGCAGAACACTTTGCAGGTAGCAGAAAGCTGTGCTGAGTGCTTAGCGTCCCTACAGAGGAGACAGAGCTGGTCCCAGGGGCATGGTGTGTTGTCTGTGTTGAAAGGCTCCTCTGGCACCACAGAACACAGCAGGAGTCAAAGATTTAGACTGTGGTCCCCGAAGGCCTCCCAGCGAGGACACCGGGCAGGACAGGACCGCAAGCAGGAGGGACCTGGCCGTGAGGCCGGAGGTGCACCTCCCTGGTGTGGGCGGGACAGCAGGAGGCCAGCATTGCGGTGATGGGGATGTGGGGACCTGGGGTGTCTGCCTGCACGGACTCGGCCGTCCCTGGGCGGCAGTGGAGGAGGTGGCGGTGAGGATGGGTTCCTCAGTCACACCTGGCCCACAAGTCAGCAGAACTGGAGCTAAAGGCACCTCAGAGGTGCGTGGTGCCGTGGAGAATATTGCGGAGTGTGAGCGACTGTGCTCAGGTTTGGGACAGCATTCCTGAAGGGGCGATGGGGAAGCCACCTGAGAGACGCAGGTAAGGCAGGAAGGGGGCTTGAGAGTGACCCTCAGAGCCAGGAAAAGGTGGGTCAGAAAAGAGCACTGGTTGAAAGACCCTCACTGGCCCAGAGGAGAAAAGCTGGAGTGTGGGCTAAAGGGTGTGAACCAAAAGCAGTCACTGAAAAAACTGGAAGGTGGCTGGGATTTGGAGCAAGGCAGATGCAGGACTGGGGATGATCGTGTTTCTAGCTTGCGGGAAGATGCGTGGACAGACAGACACATGGAAAAGTAGGTGCTCATTTGCTCCACTGGGCAGCGCTGGAAGGTGGATTGGAGGTGGGCAGTGGCGTGGGCGTTTATGTGTTGGGCCGGGGCCATTTGGAAATGTTCGGATGAGCCTCACAGCTGTCATGTAGCCTGCTCTGGGGCCGGAAGAGGCGCAGGTTCTAGATGTGAGTCCGTGGCCCAAGGCAGGGGAGTGGTGGTTAAAGCGGGTATGGATAGCCCGCTGCCACCCCAGAGGGGCTGCAACGATGAGCAACAGGGAGGCCAAAGCGCTCCACCGGAACAAAGGAGCATCGTGTCGGGAGGAGGGGCATCGGTGGTGTCCTGGGGGCAGATGTAGTGCTGTGCAGATGTGGGCAGTGGTGAGGACTGCAAGGGAAGACTCAGCCAGGAGGGGGAAATCCCTCTGAGTCTGGCTTTATCTCAGTGGGTATAAGCCACGCCTCCCACCGCACTGCCGACCATAAGACCCCTAGGACCATACGAGCAGACTGCTGC